GGGTAGTGAGACAATATCTGGCAGGGACAGCAAGCAAAAGACAATAAAGACAGAGAAAAGGAAAAGGACAGAGGCACAGAGAGGTGGGAGGGGAAAGGAAAAAGCAGGAGCAGTGTTGGAGGAGGGAGTGGGAGCAAGACAAAGGAAAATAAGGATAGGGAGCCAGATGGAGATAAACTGGGAAGGGCAGCATGACAGAACAATTCAAAAATTATAGGGGCAGGGAGCAGGGCAGAGGGATACGGTGAGAAACAATAGGACAGGGAGTAGGATAGAGCAACAGAATAAAAAAGGGAAAGGGAGCATAAGAGAAACTAGGGGGGGCAGAGAGAAGAACAGATACACAGAGCAATCAGGGAGCCAGACACTGGGACAAAGAAGGACTGCGTAATACAGTGACAGATGCAGATTGGGACAAAGATGGAGAAAGTAAAACCAGTGATGGGCTGGAGAACCTGCTTCTGACAATCTGTAGCTCCTAATGTCACTTCCATGGCCTCGAGTGCAACATAGCACAAGACAGGGGAACAGGGGAGTGAAAGAAAAGGCACAGAGAACTTTTAAACAAGAAAAAACAACAGAGCAAAACACTTGTAAGGAATGAGATAATGATGTGAGAAATACTCAGTTACCAATTATCACCGGCTCAGACAGGATGTCTTGCAAGACCAGGCACCCCACCAGGTGGACAAACCTAACAGCCATCATGCAATGGTTTATAGCCCTTTCTCCCGACCGCAAGTTCCCTCCCCGATTCCTCATTGGGGGAGTAGTACAGGGTGGACAGATTTCCCAAACTGCCTACTGATACGCCTCTTCATGTATATGTTCATATGTCACATGTTCATGAAAATGAACCTTGGCTTTCTCCAGGGTGCATAAGTTAATATGCATGAGCTCATCACACAAGCGCAAGCGTATTAAGACAGAAAAAGTTCGAAATTCAGGTTCCCCAAGTCTCTCGGTATCTGCATCCATCTAAAGCCATTTCTAAGTACTGGTCATCACAGTTGACAAATGGGCTACCTGTCTCCTCACCCCAGGCCAGGAATTTCAATGGTTTGCTCTTTCAATTAATTGTTCTTATTAATTGCTTTGGTGAAAGCTCCTGCCCTTCTTGTCAGGCTGAATATGCGAAAACAACATTCTTTCCCTTACAATGTGGAGCAGAAAGCAAGGAGAGCACGAGGACAATGGACAGACAATGGGAGACAAAAAGGGACAGAAAGCTGGATATAAGGTAGGAAGAAAACCAGGAACAAAACCCAGTATTAATTACACAGTGAGGCTAATTAAAATGGAAATAATCTACCACCTCGAACAGAATGGCTCACTATAGCAGCTTAGCCTGTATCTTGTCTAAATTAGCATCTGTTTCTTGGCAGGGTGTGCAGGACTATAAAACCTGTGATAAAACACGGAGGAACACGTTTACAGGACCAAGCTAAATGGATTAGGTGCGCAAAATCTGATACTACTTAGTCTTAATTCTAGCTTGTACAATCAAATAATACTCTGATATTTGAATTTCCTTTCTGCAAATTTCCTTTATCCATGCTTCTCCTTTAAAAGAAATAAATTGCATTATCTCAGTGTCAGATATATGGTTGTTTGAAGATACTGTGAACATAAGGAGAGACTTCTCTTTTGCAGGTTCTTTGGAAATCCTACAATGACCTTGAAATTGAGCAAGAAGAATATGAGAAAACAAGAAATCTTTACCATAGATTATTTCAGCAGATGCAGCATGTTAACACAGAATTTGTCCTGAATCTGGTCCACAGTGCAGAGAAAGCCTCAAGTGCTTTAGCTGTCCCTATTTTTCAAGTCAACAGCAAACCTAATGTCAGTCCTGTGCCATGATGACATTTCTACATTATAACAGGTTTATCTTCTATGCAAGTATTAATACACTGCCTTCCCCTGCTGTGTTTTCTGGGTATTGTGCAGTATTTTCACTGGTCACGAATAAATGCAGTTGAAGGGTTTTTACTGTTAGTGACTTCAGTTATTTTTGGTTTGAAAGAAAACAGCATACATGAGGTAATTCATTTTAATAGCCTCTGAATTTCCAATATTTGTAAGGAAAAATAATGGGTAAGTGCAGGAGTATGCAGCCATTACCAACAGACACAGTATTAGTAAGCTTCTCAATGCTGCTTTTTGGTATTTTATGGGGAAAAACACTGAACCTAAGTTTTCCCTCCATAAGTTCTTGGGGGCTGGGGAGTGAAGGAACTTGACGCTCTTAGTAAGATGACTGAAAAAATTCACAGCTTACTGTTACTCAATGTCTTCTGGCCTCACAGGATGAGGCAGAGGTATGATTGATTTCTTCTCCATATCTCTAGAAAGAGCTTTTCTCATATCTGTGGCAAAAGGAAAGAAGGCTATTACAGTAAGACAGTCATTTCAAAGCCATATTTAGTGAATTCTATATTACAATAAGATCATTTTAAATCAAGATTTCAGAGTATCTCCAGTTGGAAGGGACCCATAAGGATCATCAAGTCCCACTCCCTGCTCCTCACAGAACTACTTAAAACTCAACCATATGACTAACTTAAGAGCATCATCCAGATGCTCCTTGAACTCTGACAGGCTTCGTGGTGTGACAACCTCCCTGGGGAGCCTGTTCCAGGGACTGACCATCCTCTCAGTGAAGAGCCTTTTCCTAATGTCTGGTCTGAACTTCCCCTGACACAGCTTCATTCCATTCCCTCATGTTCTGTTGCTGGTCACCAGAGAATGGAGCTCAGCATCTCCCCCTCCACGTCCCACCTTGAGGAAACTGTAGACTGGGATGACGTCCGCCCTCAGCCTTCTCTTCTCCAAGCTGAACAAGCCAAGTGACCTCAGCCCCTCCTCCTAAATCTTGCCCTTGAGACTGTTCACCATCTTGGTTGCCCTCCTCTGGACACACTCCAATAGTTTTACACAGTCACTGAGTGGTTTCAGTTGGAAGGAATGTAGAACCCATCCACTCCAACCTCCTGCCCCGGGCAGGGCCACCTTCCACCAGCCCAGGGTGCCCAAAGCCCCGTCCAACCTGGCCTTGAACCCTGCAGCTTCTCTGGGCAGCCTGTGTCAGGGCCTCACGCCCCTCACAGGGGAGAATTTCTGCCTCAGATCTCATCTAAATCTACCGCTCTCCACTTGGACATGGAGCTATTAACCACAACTCTAAGTGCCACCATCCAGCCAAATCCTCGTCCACCGAGTGCTCCATCTGCCAAATCCATCTCTCTCCAATTCAGAGACAAGGATGTTGTGTGGGACAGTGTCGAACGCTTTGCACAAGGCCAGGTAGATGACATCAGCTGCTCTTCCCATATCCACCAGCGCTGTAACCCCATTATAGAAGGCCACCAAATTTGTCAGGCACGATCTGCCCTTAGTGGAGCCATGTTGGCTGTCACCAATCACCTTATTTTCCATGTGCCCTTGCATATTTTCCAGGAGGATCCACCCCATGATCTTGCCTGGCACAGAGGTGACACTGACTGGCCTATAGTTCCCCAGGTCTTTTTTCCCCTTTTTAAAAACGATGTCCTGAATGTCGTTCAGCAGCAATGTTATCAATTGGAATATGACACCACATGAAACTCAACTGAATGGAAAGGAAATGCCAAGCTAAAAGGACAAAGAGATGATTTAAGGCATCTGCAACAATAGTAGATGTCTGTCCATAGCTCTTGTGTTTCACAGTACTCACACATATCAAAGGAATAGTGCAAGAACAGAAAAGATGTAGCATGGCCACATAACCCTTCAGTGAGTATACTTAAAGGAAAAAGTCTAGAAAGAGGAATCAGCAGCTCATATTTCAGTTTTGATAACAGAACATTAATGTACTATAATTTCCATGTTCCTTCCCTTTTACATTGAAAAGGCCACCCAATTCTCTGCCACTGTTGACCACTGACACCTGTCAATTTGTAGTTAGACATCTGAGAAAAACGAAGTTTCAAGTCCCTGTTATGGGAAGAAACAAGGGAGGTACTGCAATTGCTTCCCCCAGTAACATTAGCAAAAAGCCCAGCCACTAGGTATGAGCCTTCCTCAAAAAGAAAGATTATATAAGAAACTGCATTTTTATTTTCACATTACCTATGATAAATGTCTTTGTACGTACTAATTTATTCTTGTTTCTTATTTTGTCACAGATGCTACAAAACATGTAAACCGCAAGATTAAGTTTTCTAACTGATGTAATCTTCAGTAGGAAAAGCTATCTAAAGGAGTGTACAAAATCCCATTCATCAACAGCTATCTGATTAAAAAAAAAAAAAAAAAAAAATCAGACAAACCAACCCAGGAACCCTCAACATCAGAAACTTACTATTCAACCTGAGGCAGAACAAGTACTTACCATAAGCATCTTCGTCTGGTTCTCCATTGCTAGCAGAGTAGTACTCTAATACTGTCCGGTACACACTGTAGCCCAGTTGCTTATACATATTTACTGCAACTTGATTTGACACTCTCACAAAGAGATCAACGAAAAATCCACCCTTTCTTTGAAAAAATAAAAAGCCAAAAGACCACAGTAAGTATAGCAGGTGAATGTATTTCTAATAATAACCCATAACTTGTAATCAGACCCAAAGCAGGTCTGATTATGTGGTATGCTCATCAAACCTCTTTCACACTGTAATAACAGATGCACTCCTTTACCAAGGGACAAATCCAGTATAGGCACCAATTTAATTTTATTTTTGTCACATGACTATTCTTTTACACCAGCCAGTGGGTTCAGAATTATGAACAGAAGGAACAGGACAAGCTAAACACCCCCACAAGCCTCGTATCCATGATAAAGATTTAATCCACATTTTAGATTGCATTGGTTTCGGGACTGCCTGCTTCAAAGTAGATGGCAGGGGAGAGTGGTGGAGTCAAGTCACAAAATTCAGTTGCCTGAGACAGCCCTTCTCCTCACAAGGCAAGTTTTTCAAATCATAGTGTTTTCCGATTTTACCATCTACAATGGGGTTGCTCTACCAGCATGAGTTGAGGATGTTCCCCTGTGAGTTCATCTGACACTAAATTTTCAGCAGGTACAAGCAACCAATTACAAGAGAGAAAGTAAGCTAAGATACTGTCTGCTATCCAAGATTTGTTCAAGATTGTGCCTAAGGGAATCACACAAAGCCCATGATTACTGAATTAGTATGTTGGGGGCCCTACAGGAAATAGTGTTGATGTTTCATTAAGCACTTCTCTTGCCAAGGAAAGGACTTTTTATACAGTATCTCTATTGGAATTCAGGCTAGTTCCTATGCATTCTGGCAAGTTAGCTTTCATAGAACCTTGAGATTAAACCACCATGCAACATTTTTAATTCTTGTTCTCCAACTATGGGGAATTTCAGCAAATCAGAACACTACTTAAAGCAAAATTCTGTGTCTGTTTCGTGCAAATCAAATATCTAAGCCATGGACAGGTGGGGATAGAAAGATTACTTTAAAAGATACATTTAAAGGTAAGCATAGTACTCACTTCTCTGAAATTTCTTCCAGTAGTTCCATCAATTTAGCAGCCAGACCCAGCCGTCGAAATTCCGGTGCCACAGAGAGCGCAGTAACGTGTCCATGCCATTCTTCCCTAGCCACAGAGCCTTCTGCTTTACCCATTACTGTGAACATACAGAGCATCAGAGCAGTAGCACCTTTGGAATAATGAACCACCCACAGCCACACATCTTCACAAAAGAACCAAGCAGTATATAAACAAACACTGCAATGATTGTGGTAAAGGCTCAAACAGAGATGTCTATGGTACTACTCTGTGATTCAGCAACCACGAAAAATGTAATTTTGCTCAAGTATTGCAGTATTTTCCTAACTACTGTAAAAAACAAAAAAAAACCCCACTTTTCCCAATTAATTGTTGAAGGCATGCTTTCCAAATGGAAATTTGAAGCAACTCTCATGACTCTTTAAATGGAATTCGGGATCTGACTAAAATAAAGGAAAGAATGGAAGGCTAGAAGCCCCAGACTAACTCACCATCCTGGCAACTACTGAAGATTTTTGGTGACTATGGGGAAAAAGAGCTTGGGAAGCTTTGCCAATCTTGCAATAGAAAGCTAAGGCCCTGCAAATATGCTATGTTTAAGGGGGGAAAAAAAAAAAAAGTTGTTTTGGGGAGGCTCCTTTGTAGTTCTTATCCTTTCTACACAGAGCCAAAACAGTGTTCACTAATAAATATTCACACTTCCACATGGTACTCTTGTAAACATCAGTCACTGCTAATAAGCAACTGATGTGGTGAATATGGAGAAACCTTCTGTACAGCAAATGCTTTAAGCTTTACTACATTAAATACTTTATTTTCCAAGTCTCTGCAAAGACACTTATTCTGCCCTGTTCTCTCCCCCACCCCTCCCAAACGAAGGGAAAAAAACCTGGCAGGAATAAACAAACCAAGAGTTCTATTTGGAATGGTTTCTAAAGACACAAATATTGCACAGCAAATAAGCAAATGACACCTAGACCCAGCTCATTCATTCCCTTACATGACAATGCCAAACCCAAGCCCAGCACTTCTACTTACAGATGAGTGACAGTGTGTGAGATCAGACCTGAGTACAGGGACTTAATTCCGGGATAAGAGAAATGCTTGTACACATACATTCACCTGTATAAAACCTGGGAGGACGTTACCACAGCCAAGAGTCCTTGCCCTGCCAGGAACATCAAACTGAAAACTACTGCTGTGAGGTCTGTGCAACACCCTTTGGCACCTATGGAATGGGAAGATGATACATAACGTTCCTCTCCCCTGTTGGGCGTTTGGAAAACAAAAAAGAGTAAGAGAAGCTCCCGCGTTCTATGACGAACACGCAATACATATAAACAGGAGGCGCCGCCAGACGGTAACGCGGGAACAGCCGGTGCCGCGGGGCCCGGCACACTCACTGTAACCCATCAGCTCCCCGCCGGGCGCCTCCGCGACAATGAAATACTCGGGCCAGTGCGCCAGGTACTGCAGGTAGAAGGGGATCCCGTACTGCGGCCGTGGGTTAAGGACCAAGCTGTCACCGCCGCGGCCACCCGCGCCAAGCTCCGCGCCTCGGCCCCGGCCTCCGCGGCGGCGGGAAGGATACGGTCTCCGTCAGCGGGTCCAGGTTGCTGCAGGGGAGAGCAACGCTCACCTGTCTC